ACTTTAGAAATGTAAGAACCTGAGAATTATGTAGATAGGTAATCACTAAATGGACCATTTTATGGATCGAAAACTAAAACAGAAATTAAAAAACAAACAAAAAAGAATACTGAAAAGGTTAAGTTAAATCTGGGGATTAGATATTTGTCAAGACATTAGATACTAAAGTTTGTTTGGATTCAAGAAATTAACTTCTTAGCACTTCTAGATTACCTGCAGACCATTAATATTTTTCTTAAGGGCGTTAGATTTAATCTTATAGCCCGTCATTATTTCAATTTAATGTTATCTGTCAACAGTTTGAAGCAACACCAGAACCCACTTTTCTTACACACCAAAAGTGCCTTTCCGATATTTAGTCTATAAAAACGAAAATAAAGGAATCAAGGTTCTATGAATGCTGTTCATGATAGATGTTCTATAATCAAGATAATAATTCACCAACCTACTAGAGAGAGACTGAGAGAGCATGATTGAGACGTAGAAAAATTGAGATGAAGAGAGGTATTTATTCTCTCTATGGTTGCTGTACTATAAAAATAATTACCCCTCATAAGGGACATTGTCTCTAGCTAAAGAAGCCACATTTATCTCCAAACTAGCAAGAATGGAGAAATTATACCCATTACCTGACATCAGGTTCAATTAGATCAGTGCAATTGACATCTAAGAAGACCTGTCTAGAACTTTATCCCAACCACAGTAAATTGTATTTAATTAGAACTTGCACGTTTTATTTGTGTGTTTTTCTCAATGATTCATCTTGAAATCATTAACGTTAATTTCATATGTTTTCAACAAAGCCAAAGTGGTGGTTGTCACATTATATTCCACACAAAATTTGAAGTTTTGTAAATGTTTCATTATTTAACTTACACAATGTATTAAAGGTACTCTCCACCTTATCCAAAAATGTGTCAAAAGGAAGTTTCATCATAACACTTTAAATAAATTTGAGACACATTGCACAGTATTAATCATTAGATATTTAGATGAATTTAGGGGGTGAGGTAGATTAATTCTTTCTTTTTTATATTTAGTATAATATTTGTTCTTTTAAATTATAATACTAATATAAAATGAGTAGACAATTGTGACATAAGATTTTATCTTTATTCTGATAAATGTCTTTGGCTTACATCCACTTCTAAGGAATCCACCTTAGGACGGGCTTGTAAACCCGCCCTGACAACTAAATGCAGGTGAGGTAACAATGGGAAGGGAACCCTATGCACGACGAGCAATGCTAACCAGGGACTCTAGATGATGAGAGCCAAACTCAGCTGTGTGAAAGCAGTAGCCGAAATGTCATGACGCCGACAGTCCATCACGACTATGTCGCCAGGTGGTTTTGATGCAGGGTGATCCTCCAAGTCCACGTCTGGAGGGCGAAGACTTAATGTCGTTGGCAAGTGCTCGACGACCAACATGACAATTCTGGCACGCGCGCCAAAGTCGCACGATGGAAACACCTAACCTGTTTTAACCTAGCTAGGTCCGACGGGGGTGGAGCAGGTGCGAGATGATACTGAACGTAGTAAACGACTTGGAGGACAGGGGATAAAAGCTGACCTGCAAGGCAGAGTTCCAGTCGATGCGCGACAGGGCATCCAGCTGACACCGTGAACAGGAGTCCCAATGGCGGATATCGGCAAGGCTCGGCCAGGCTCAGTAGTATGGGCTCGGACAGGGTCGGAGGAAGGGACACGACCAAGTGGCTGTGGTGCTCAGGTAGGCGCCCAAGGTCAGGCGCAATGACGAGCTCCGAGGGGCAGGCGTGGTAGCACGCGAGCGGGCCTGCAGTGCAGGCGGAGATGCCGTAACGGTCGCGAGATGAACGCATTGTTCAGCGCGCGGTGGGCACGCGCAGCTAGCGGGCGCGCGGGGTTGGCGCGCTAGTGGAGGCACAGCATGTGCTGATAGCCCAGTAGCGATGACCGCGTCCCAGCGGTGGCTCAATGGGCTGCTGATAGCCTTGGAAGCAACGGCGGCGACCTGGTGGTGATCCCCTTCCCCTTTGTCCTCTTGGAACGAGATTATCAACCAAAACACACTTTCTCCTAAAGATGACGGCTCTGCTCTTGGGGGTGACTCTCCACCGTAATATAAGGCCCAAATGGGCCAAGGGTGGAGGGCCACGCTTGAGGCCCAAGACGCCAAAGCCCCAAAAAAAGAACACATACAGTTCAACATGGGCCCTCCTCTCCAATTGGACCCAAACGAGAATGGCCCAAAAGAGAAGGGAGGCAAGGAATAGAAGGACGCCCTCTTCTCCAATTAGGCACAAGCAGATATGGCCCAACAGGAGAAGAGAGGAAAGAAAAGAAAACAAAGGAGAGTGGGCCTTCCCATTCCCGCCATGGGCCCAACACGGACCCTAGGGATGAGAGGCCCCACACGGAGCAAAACTAGAACCCACACAGTTCATGGACGAGGGAAACGAGCGAAGGAAAACATAAGATGTGGAAAACATAAAGGTGCCTCCAGCTGTATAGTGGAACCCGGGGTCTTTCATCTTCGCTCGTGCTCCTCGATCCGGCTGGATACGTGAGGGTCAGGTCTCCTCTGTCGCCTCGAGCTCGTGCAGTGTTGGAGATGGGTCCCATTCGCCACCATAATAGGTTAGGTCAGGCCGAGTATGAATTAAGTACCTCAAGCTCCCGATTATGCTCCTGAATTTTGTTGAGTCAATAGATTAACTCTTGCTTCCTTCACTGAACTTGAATCGTGCTCAAGTGGCGTGGAGAATGAGTTGCACTCTTGCATTCCACTTTATTCAAGTAACCGCAGAATCTAGTTCTTTTGCCTGATCATATCTCTGGTTTGTTCCACTTCAATTCCCAAATATGAGATGAGTAGATCTAGGTCGCTCTTCTCAAATTGCTTCATCATTATTTGTTTGAAATCTCAGATGCATTCTTCACTAGTTCTGGTAACTATGAGATCATCCACATACACCCCGATTATCAAGTGAGCTTTAAGAGAGAATTTTGTGTACACTGCATGTTCTTGAGAGTATCTGATAAAGTAGCTTCGTATACCATGCTCGAGGTGCCTGCTTTAATCCATAAAGAGCCTTTTTTAATTTTAGAACATAATTCTCTTTATCGCTATGGATGAATCCTTCCGGCTATTTGACAAAGACTTTTTCTTTAAGTTCTCCATTTAAAAACGCTAACTTGACATCTAGATGATGAAGTCTCCATCCATTTTGGGCCGGAAGAGCAATTATCACTCTAATTGTCTCCATTCTTGCTACTCGGGCAAAGACTTCCTCAAAGTCAATGGCCAATTTTCGAACATCGATTTTAGCAACTAGCCTGGCTTTGTGATGAATTACCTCTCCTTGTGAGTTCTTTTTTATCTTAAATATCTATTTAAGACCGATAGGTTTGCAATCCTCAATGGATGGGGTGAGAATCTATGTGGGGTTCTTCATGATTGCCTCAATTTCCTCTTCCATGGCTTTTCTCTAAATTCCTTGCAACATTGCTTCTTGATATGAGGAAGGTTCTTCTAACATTAAGTTGAACTCCTCTATATCTCTATAGACTTGAGTTATGTCTCTAAATCTTCTAAGATAAGCTCCCTAAGAAGATGAAGACATATCTTGTGGTTGATCAAGGAAGTCGTCGGGTATTGGTGCAGAGGTGACTTGGTCAACGGAGTATTCTCCTGCATTAGTGGAGTCAACAAAGGTGGGTAACCAGAGTGTACCTTTATTAGATTGCTCTGAAATATTTCACTCCCATTGGCTATCTTTTTCGAAAATCACATCTCAACTGATGTGAACCTTCTATTCTTGAGGATCGAAGCATCTATATGCTTTAGTTCTCACTTCATATCCTATGAAATTCATAGGTTCGCTTCTATCTTGTAGCTTTGTCAGGTGTTGACTGAGTATCTTCACATGAGCTAATGACCCAAACACTCTGAGGTGAGCAACGTTCGATTTAGATCCAGTCCAAACTTTGTTTGGTGTGGCTTCATTTAGGCTCTTTGTAGGTGAATGATTCAAGATGTAAATGCTTGTGTTGACAATTTCTCCTTATAGTGCAAGTGACAAATTCTTGCTTTTCATCATACTTAGAACCATTTTCATAATCTTTCTATTCTTTCTCTCAACAATCTCATTTTGCTGAGGAAAGTAGGGGGCTGTGAGATGATGTTTGATCTCATGTTGAGAGCAGAAAGAAATAAATTCTATAGAATTAAATTCGCCTCCTTTGTCAGTTCAAAAATTACCAATCTTCACTTTCTTCTCTGTCTCGACCATAGTTTTGAACCTCACAAATGCCTGAAAAACTTCACTTTTCTACTTCAAGATTGCAACCCACATTAGTCGAGAATAATCATCTATAACTAGGAAGAAAAATCGATTTCCTCCATAAGTAATTGTCGTGATTGGGCCACAAAGATCTCCATGAATCAGCTCTACTGAACTGCTGGCCTTGAACGATAAAACAGAGGGAAATGGTTGTCTATGATGTTTACGTGCTACACAATGTTATGCTCTTGGGTATATGAAGTGGAGGTATCCCTTGTAAAATACTGGGGAGAGACTTCAGTGAGTTAAAGTTCAGGTGGCCATACCTCCGGTGCCAAATCCATTCAATCTCTTTGGCTTCTTTTGAAATGAGACAATGTTCTTCAATTGTCAATTTCAGTGGGTAAAGTCTTCCCTGTGATTTCTTTACCCGTGCTAAAAGTCTTCTATGTTGATCGTGGATAGTGAGATAGCCGGATTCCATCTCAACTTTAAATCCTTGACCATCTAATCGGCTAAGATTGAGTATGTGGGCCTTAAGCTTTGGAATGTAAAGGACATTATTGAGAGTCAACTTACTTCCATCTTGATAACTCACTAGAATATTGCCTCTGCCTGAGATGTCAATGCTGGAACTATCGCTGAATTTCACCTCTCCGCCAATTGATTCAGTGAGTTCACTAAACAAGTTTCGATTTCCAATCATATGATTTGTGGCACCTGTGTCTTAGTGTCACATTCCTTCTCCAATCTGAGCTTTCATTGTGCCTTGTAACAGGACTTCTTCAATTGTGGCCATTAAAAGCGTTGACTCAGTCTTCTCTTCGGTCTTTGCGAGGTGAGCTTTCTCTTCCTTTATCTCTGCATAGCATTCAAAGGCATGATGCCCCATTTTATCACAATTGAAGCATTTCACTGTGGATTTGTCACGAGGCTTCTAGTTTTCATCCGAGCCTCTCCCATTGCTTCGTCCTCTGCCTCGGCCACGTCCTCTGAGGATTTCCACCCTTTGTTTTCTTAGTCCCATGAGCGAAAAGAGCTTGTTCTTCTTTTTGCTCTTACCGATTTCTGAGTTTATCTTCATAGATCTTAAGAGATCCCACAGCTTCTTCAAAAGGCATTGTGTCGATATCTCCGAATTGCTCAAGAGATGTTGTGAGTGGATCAAATTTTGGAGTTGCTCTGGGAAGCTTTGCTACCACTGCGCCTTCTTCCACTTTTTCGCCCAGATTTCTGATCTGAGTGACAAGATGAGACAATTTCCCAGAGAAATCTGTCATGTTCTCTTCATCTCCCATTTGCAGCATCTCGAATTCACGCCGGAGAGATTGAAGTCTCGATTTCGTGAGGCGAGCTACTCATACGTGCATGGACTTGAGAACTTCCCAAGTTTCTTTCGCCGTCTTGGTGATGTCGATGTGAGTTTGAATGTCTTCAGACACAGCTCCAAGCATCACTGATAGTGCTTGCCGGTCCTTCCTTGCCACCGAATCAGACTCAATAGCATCCTACAAGCTATGAGCTTCCAAATGGAGTTGCATACCCATTGCCCACAATGGGTAATTAGTCTTGTTCAAGACTGGAAAAGTACCTGGATAATCGGCGTCTCCAGGACCTTTCGTGGGTCCACTCGTGGCGAGCGAGCTCTCACTTTCCGTAGCATCTCCTCGGCGCGGCATTTCGTCTTCTTTCTGCAACACAGCTCTGATATCAAATGTTGGGATCACAGGATCTGGAGAGAGAATGAGGAAGCATCAAAACACGGATATTTTCAAAGAAAACAGAGCAGCCTTTCCTTCTTTCTTTTCATCGAACACAAAGTTACATTTTATAGAAGAGAGAAATGTAATGGTCGGTTAAGGCACTTACAATTCTTGGGACCCACGTTCCCACGTAGCTCTTATCTCAGCCATTATAACTCGATTGAGATGGATGGTCAGGATTAAACCAAAATAAATACTTGAAGAAAAACAGTAAAGATCTTAAAACAGTAGTCACCGGAGAATAGGTCTGAGCATCTCCATTTCCGGCGATCTTTACGCGCACTTTATTTGACTGGGCTTAACACCATCAGGGTCGTCTTCTTCCAAATGTGCGTGAAGACGCTCAAGAACGTGCTCACTCGTTGGCTTGGATCGCCACCATTCACTCTGCCTTTGAGCTTGCCGATGAACTCCTTGGAGAAGTGGAAGGATTGGTTACACATCTTGGACAGGTTAGCTCCGACGTTCCCCCGAGACCTGGTGGCTCCACTCTTGGGCCTGAACTCGGCTCTGAGGTGGTCAAACTCCACCCTAGCCGGGTTCCTAGGAGCAAAGACTGAGCTCCAGCCGAAGAAAGGGAGAGTCCCGACATCGCGGCCCTGCACCAGTTTGGCCCAGGTGAAGAGGAAATGGCAAATGGAGGAGCCGTCACCTATGCGGTGGTGGGAGGTGAGACCCAGAGTGAGACCGCCGCAGTAGAAGCGGGTGAGTTGTACCTGGAGGAGCACCTCCACCCCCTCAGCTGGATGTGGATGCAATGTTAGAAAGCTCGCGGAGGGATCGAAGGGGAGGTGTTCCTCCAGTGTGGACGGTGCAATGGCCTCCTTGAGGCGGATGCCAGCGTCGTTTTGAACGACTTTTGGATATCCGTACTGCTCAGAGTGGAACCTTCCGATAAGGTGAGGGAAGTAAGCGAGGGCTCGGGTGAGTCCCTCCCGCAGGGCGGCATTATCGGGCATCGGCGGCCGGAAGGCGTAGAGGATGGGGACACGGCAGTTGTAGTTGGCTATGTCGAAAGGCGTGAGGCGGAACTCAGCGTTGTGAAGAACATGAGGTGGGGAGGAAGGCGAACAGTAGGGCTTCAGAAGGATATCACGGGTCACTTGACCTGCCTCGACTGCTGCCATTTTGGTTAGTCACTCTCTTGCAAAGGTGTTTGCACTTATCATTGCTTAGTCATCGTTTTCCGCATCGAGACGGGCCTGATATACCCTGAGAAGCGGGAGCGTGGATTGAGATCTCGGCGTGGAAGGAGGAGAGAGAGAAGTAATCGAGCCCAATTGCCATCGCCGACAACAGGGAATCGACGCCATGTGCCATGACCGAAAAGATAAAAGCGAGCCCAACTGTCATCGCCGACAATAGGGAATCAAGGCCATGTGCCATCATCGACAAGATAGAATCGAACCAAGGTGCTATCAGCGATAAACGTGGAATCGAGCCCATGTGCCATCATCGACAAGACTGAATCGAGCCCACGTGCTATCATGGACAAGACTGAATCGAGCCCAGGTGCTATCATCGACAAGACTGAATCGAGCCCAGGTACCATCACTGACAGTATAAATGTCTTCACATTGACAGTAAACGCATGTAGAATTCCTGTGCTCTTCGCATCTTTAGGTACTAGAAAACCATGTAAGCCGTTCTGTATTCTTTGCATTTTTACTTACTAGAAAACGCACGTAAGACGTCCAGTGTTCTTCGCATCTTTACGTCCTAGAAAATGCATGTAAGACGTCTCGTGTTCTTCGCATCTTTACATACTAGAAAACGCATCTAGAATGTCCGGTGTTGAATGCATCTTTACGTACTAGAAAGGTCTCTTCTGTCGTTTCCGACTAGTCAACCATTCTGATCACGATAAACACGCACTAAACGAATCCGTAGGCGGCCTGCGTTAGGAGATACCTATTATGTTGAGGAAACAGAGGGGTAATGATGCAGCATAGGGCAACTCACTATGTGGAAGACGAGGGTCATGCCGAACACCCAACCGTCCCATTCCCGCTGGCTCACGTCACCGCTAGAAACGCCCTGAAACGGGCTAGTTCGTCTTTTTACCAAGACCGTTTTCCTTGGATTTCGCTGTTTCATTGACCAGCTGAGGCCTATAAACTGTCAGGTAGACCTCTGGATTAAAGACATTGTATATTGGATTCGATGTAGAGTTTACTTACTTCATCTTTTGATCCCGTCGCCCCGGTTTGGGTTGGTGATGGAGTCAACATGAGGGTCCATTCCTTTAGGCGGACCCATAAGGAGTAAGAAGAGGGAAGAAAAGAGGCCATGTCACCCATGCACCCTTCTCCCCTAAGGAAGGCGTCTCTCCCTCTAAGAGACACCCACTTGGCATCCTTTGGGAGGGGACGCATCTAACTACCTTTCTCTCTTTCTAATAAATACTCAAACTCATGAATACTTGAAAAGGTGAAGTTGAATTTAGAATCAAGAAAATTCTTGTTATCACTCTCACCTGTTGGATTAATGGTTCCTTCTCCTTCATTCGCCTCTTGGATTAGGGGTTCCTATTCTCTTTCGCTCGCCTCTTGGATTAAGGGTACTTCTTCTTCTTGCCCTCTTAGATTAGAGGAACCTCTCTCTCTTTCTCTATCTCCATGTCGTCTTCGTTCCATGCCGTCGCCAGCCCTCCCTTTCCTCTCTTCTGCCACCACAGCCATTCCGCCTCCTAGCCGTTGGCCCCGTCGCCGCCGTTCGGCCTTTTAACCATCCGCCTGTCACCAAGCCTACCTTTCTTTCCTCTCTCACTGTCACTGCCATTCTGCATCTTCACCGTCCGCCCCGTCACCGTCATCCCGCCTCCTCGCCGTCCGCTCCGTCGCCGCCATTCCGCCTCCTCGCCGTCCGCTCCATTCGCTGGCATTCCGCCTCCTTGCCATCTACCCCGTCGCCGCCATTTCACCTTCTCGCCGTCACAAACCCTCTCCTTTCTCTCTCCTACTATCACCACGAAACCCCTCTTTTCTCTCTCCTATTGACGTTCTCATTTCGCCCCTTTTCTCGCTCCACCCTTTAGTTAGTATTTTTTTTAAAAAATCACCCTCTCATTCCACCGTCGCCCTCTTTCTTCCCTCTCCCGCTGCCGCCACGTTACCCTCATTTTCTCTCTCTCTTTCTCTCTCCCACCGACGTCCTCTCATTTCATCTCTTTTTCTCTCTCCACCTTTTCTTTTCTTTTCATTATTATTTTATTATTTTACCTTACTTCTGGACTTCATTTATACCTCCTGGCCCAAACATCCCATGCCTTTCGAACCACATCAATCCACTCCTTAGTGCAAATCACTCGGTCTATATCTTGGAAAATCATTAACAGAGCTCGTGAAACTTGAACCAACAAGAATCTTCAAGATATCAAAAATCTCTATTACAAAGGTGTGTTGATTTTCAAATTTTTTGTGAAGTTGGTCATTGTTTTTAAATTCTTGCTTTTAAAATTTGTGAGATTCATAGGATAACTACCCACGTATGAAAGATTGGTGGTCCAAACCTTAGTTTAGAAGCTTTATTTGATTTTTTAAATTAGATAACCCAATAGGTAATTAATGATGTTAATTCTCCTAAAATCGTGGGATCATCCAGATATTAAGTCCTCATCTCTTGTGTAGCTCTTTTTTAAGAAGATTTGGCCTCTTTGTCCTGCGTCAGTTGGTGGGAGGGCCACTCCCAGTCCAGCGCTTCTTCTTCCCTTCTCTTCCACTTCTCCAGGATTCCCTCTCTCAGCCCCTAGTTTACCTCTCGTCGTCTCCCACCTCTGCAGCCTTCCCTCTTCTCTTCCGGCCTTACCCCTCATCATCACCGCCTTAGCTGTTGCCACATCCCCCTCTCTGTCCTTGTCACCCATTGCCGCCGCCTGCCCCCGTTGTCACCGCCGCCGTCAACCGCCATCGCCGTCTGCCCTCTGCCGTCTGCCGCTACCACCGCCTCCATTCCAGCTTCTGCCCTTCGCCCTCCACCCGTCCCATCTTCGCTGCCCCGCCCGGATTTTCTTCCACCGCGGCTAGTTCCACTCCCTCTCTCCAGTTAGGGTTTAACCCTCCGGTTCGTGAGCCCAAACCTTCCCAGCCCAATCGGCCCATTTCTACGGGCCCAACTATCTAAGAATAGGTTTTTCATCCAATCTCATCTTGCTGATGTCATAGGCCGCATTACTGCACCGTAGGGTACCACTTAATTAGGATTCTCTCTAGAAAGGTATTAGATAATGACCATGCCAAATAATAATGCCTTAATGTGTATTTATAATGGCCTAAAAAAGGCATTACTTAGTGAAAGGATTCCTATAGAGTTTAATGTGCATTTATAATGGGTGAAAAAGGCAAAAAAGGCATTACTAAGCGAAATGATTGCTTCTAGAGTTTATAATATTTTTATTCTCATTAATGTGCAGACAAAATCCCTTTGGCAACCCACCTTCTCCTCAACCAAGCACTTCAGATCATGGCTCAATTTAGGTAGCTCCTTTACCATTGCCTTTTTTTTGTCAATCATGATTAGATTTATGTCCGAATTTGTTGTAGTTTAAGGTGCTGTACTTGGTGATTTTCTAGTTGACCCGAGTCTGGTTGGAATTCTTTTGTTTGGATTTTTGGAGCTTCAGCTTCCATATTCATAATTGGGCAAAACCCTTGGGACCCATATCTTTGCATGCCAATTAATAATACACAAAGATAGGCATCTTAAATGCTGAATAAAAAGATTTGAAGACAAAAAGGCTTCTCATTGAGAAATTACAAAAATAGATCACAATCCTAAGCCAAACTCCATGGAAAACAATGAAAACGATAAACTTAAAGCATTACTATACTTGACTCATTGAGACTCTTGTTCACAAATCTGCATCACTGGGTAAAACACATAATTTTGGGAAATTAAATGGGCCTTGCTTGACTCCATTGCTTGATGTTGATACCAAGTGACAATATGATGGAAGTGTATACAATACTTCCCATTAAGGCTTTTCTTGTTATCTATAGGGGAGGCCTATTCTTCTTAGAAATTCAGGCCATTTCTTATTATCTATAGGACTAGTTTTAGTCTAGAAACCTATTTCAAGATGGCCAAGGCCATCCATGAACTAAGAAAATAAGCAAAAGAGCTTACGAAGCCTAGACCAAGCCCATACCCAATTCCAACTGCACTGCCCTTTTGATATTTACTACTCTTGCACTCAAGAAACCCATTTTATCAAATTTAATTAACATTTTTTCAAGAAAAAAGGATGTACAAGAGTTACTATATTCTTCGAATTGAGGCTCATGCAATATGTCCTACCAGCTGGTCATCTCTTTATTTTAACTCAAATGTGACTATTCGACAAACACATCTAATGCAAGTTTACATTTTATTTGTCTTGAAAAAACAAGTCAAGTGAGTGAGTTCACAAGTGGCCATTAATTATAATACCACACTAAATTTAGTACACCATCCAATTGAAGTGCATAAATTAGGACATATATTAAATAGTATATTCTATCTTGTTAACTTTAATGTGAAAATAATCTTACACATCACTACTTGTACGTAGCTCAACATTTAAGTAGTAGACAATGTTAATCTCATGACTAGAAGAGAATCTGCAACAGTACAATTCGAATAGTTTCTTTTATAACAGAGATGAGTTGTCAACGACTCTCTCTCCCAACAGCTGTATCTTTCATGCCAACCAAGCACACTAAAAGAAACATAATTCTCTCAATGAAAATGAATGCTTCGATAAGTCACTAGAAAATAGATAGATATGAAAAGGAGAGGGAAGAGGGGTGAAGGGGGGAGGCCAAACATGAAAAGTTCCAAGGCCAAGATAGCCATATCTTGACCACAACCTCTTTCTCACCACGACAATATTGACAAGCACACAATCTTGGAGACAACTAGTCGACCTTACCACCAACTTGCCTATCAAACCCAAAAATCCAATGTGACAACTCCCCATGCGGTGTAAGCTGGCTCACACATCAAAATTCCACACACAACTATGAATCATTACTCAAATTTATGAAAAACCTCATGCGGATAATATTGTACGAGTATTTCTCCATTAACAACCAATGGGCTCTAGAAGTCTACAACCAGTTTGACCCAAGCTTCCCCAGAGATGTCACCC